TGGTATTGCTAGAATGTCTGTAAATTCAGAGATTAACTACTTGAGTGTGCTAACCTGTCCAATTTCTAGGTGGTCCTAAACTTATTGCCAGCACTGTACTGTAGATAGGTCGTTTACAGCAATCACTCGTTGTTCTTCTAATGCGACTTCCTGGGTTTCCTTGTCCACGTCGACTACCAGTAGACCGCGACGAGAACCCTGTCACTCATGTTTTCTCTCTTAGTTGAAACAATCGCCCTATGCCTCATGTCTGGACAACTGCACGTCTCGGGCAATTGACTTGATTTGGTCAACCCTTCGTGACTATGCCCCGATAATATGATCCTTACTGATGGTAGATCTACCGATCACTTCCTCATTTTGCCTTGGAACCTTGGTGTCGACCGAAACCATGAAGTAGTACGTACCAGTACCGGTAGTGATGCTGCTGGTTCTTCCTAACGAGAAATTCGCATCGACCATTCTTCATTCGATGTCGACTCCATTGGGGAGAGTTTACAAAACAACGACTAAGCAAGTAACAATGATAATGAGTGTACTCGAGAGTGCGATGAATTGCTGACATGAAAACTTAGGTGAGGTGATTGAGTCGCTGGAATCTTGGTACTTTTGTCGATAAAATTGATCGCCATGACCTATTGTATGGCAAAGAATCATTGATGCACTCTGATTGGCTAATAATCAGAAGTAAGGCCAGCCACCTTACGAATACGACAAACGCACTGAAACATCGATTTTCACAGTATCTATCACTATTGTCCCATTTTCCAAGCAAAATACTGGACAACAGTAAGGGATGTATTTTATATAAATCAATTGACCAATTGGCTCTATAAAGAATGAATATGTACCTGACTTAATATTATACACTAACGTAAATGACCAATTTATGATCACTGTACCAATTTATGATCACTCCCATTAAGCCAATCACGTCGGGGTAGTTTTTGACCCCAAAGCCTCCAATAGATTACTAGTATACTGAATGAACTCGATACATTACACACGGTAACCATGCCGAATCATCCGGACATTCGACTTGAAAATGGGTAAGTTCCTTGCCCTGCCCCGCAGATAACCTAAAATTGCTAAATGCTTACTAGTATCATGGATAGTGTGGGTGCTTGTTAGGGTAATCACAGGTGTCGAAGACGACACAGACCTACCGTATTCCCCATCTAACTGTACCCAAGCATTATCGTTACCCCATACTTTCACGCGCGCAGATGCCATGCTATGCGCATCACAGGCAGTCTTAAAATGAAACGATTGGAACAGGTTATCCGGACCATGTGTTGGAACTGTCCCACCAAATATTCTTGAAATACATAACTTTATAAACTTATATATTACCTGACCATAGCATAAATGGTCCAACCGTGTTGAGGTCATTCATAGATAATGTGGGTGTAAAGACACGAAATTTCAGTCCGGATAAATGAAACAAACCGTCCAATGAAACTTATGTTCCGGATATACTTTTGCGAGGTTGCAAGCATCGACTCTGGTTCTGCCGCCCTGGGGAGAGAAGCCTGTGCGCCTCGGACGCTTGCTCATCTGCTCAAGTCACGAGGACCGCGAACTGTCTCGTCGCCTTGCACACGATACTGTCGTTGATGTCACGAGCGGTGCAGTTGAAGAGGTGTACGGAGGGCACAGGAGGTAGAACCTGGAGTCCACCAATGTCCACGAGAGATGAACGCTCGTGGACACAAACAACACAGGTATTTATTACATGTTTCCATCCACAAACACGTTTTTTCATTCAATGTGTGATAGCAACAAAACAAGCGGCCTCGGGAAATGAACGCCCGTTGCCATCCATCGCGTTTCGCCTCGCGCTATGCTATGCACATGGTGGGGCAACTGAGGGATGACATCGGGGAGGACCGACCATGTGCATGTATATTACATGCAGCTTGGATAGAATGCGTATATACAGTGGTATGTTCTTGAATATGTGTGTGATTGATGGCGATGTTATGCGATTAGTGGATCTGCGGCCATGTCGAGCGGCGGCGGCGTGCGAATTGTCCCTCCCCGGTGGTGATGATGACGACCGACGATATCACCGGGGCGGGGTGCATTTATTTCAAGCGTACGAATGCATGTTTGTGAATGTGTGTGTGAGATTGATGGTGATGATATGTGATTAGTGGATCTGTGACCATGTCGAGCGGCGGCGGCGTGCGACTTGTCCCTCCCCGGTGGTGATGATGACGACCGACGATATCACCGGGGCGGGGCGTGCGTCTTGTACCTTTCCAGTCTTTGAGCCCCAGCCATGGAGAGCATGCGCTGCTTCATTGATTTGGTCCTTCAGCACCGTCCTTCGTACAGTACGTGCTGTTGTGCATGATACCGCGAAATTCAAGTGGTGGAAGTGTCATTAGTGTGCAGACGACAACTCCTTACGGCGTGCCTGGTCGACGTGCGTCGCCCAAGTGATGACGATGGCGAAGGACAGCCTTACCTGTGGAAGAACCTGCGACCCTTCCGAGCGGTACGTCTGAGCAACAAGCTCTTACTCGTTACTGATTATGACAATGAACAAGATAACTGGAGCAGACTGAAGGGTGTCCAGAAAGTCGGATCTTCTTTGTACGCCGGTTGTGTATGTGATGCAA